TTTATGTGGAGTGAGGGGGGGTGTTTTTGTAAAGGGTGGGGGTTTGCCCGGGTGTGCTAGGTTTTTTTTTTTTTTTTTTGTTTCTTTAGTTTTTAAATATTTAATTATTTTTAACGGAAAATTGGATGAAACTACATGGAAACTAACGGCAGGGGGTAAATTGACCATTTAAAATAGTCTGAGGGTTAAATTGGTTGAAAAAATAATTCATGGTTGACATTTCAATTAGCGGTATAGTTCAGGGGGGTTTTCGGCTGTTTACCCTATATAAAAATTGGAACAACTAAACTAAACTGTGAATGAAAAGCTTCAATCTCATTAGTTGAATATATCACGGGCTTCAAGACTTGGCATTACAATATTGATAGAGGAAAAACAAATATACATAGAATAATACCATTGTTGGAGTGTTTTGTTGGAGAAAGATGGATATGAGAGAATATGGAAGAGATTTTTAAACAGAAAAACTGAAGCTTTATTGATTTCCTAAAATTGATTACAACACTAGGCCATCTTATTGGCTATTTATAATAAGAGGTGCAGACACAACTCTTGACTTCTAAAGAGATACAACTCTTCCTAAACATAACTCTTCTCAAGAGACACAACTCTACTTTAATAACTGATACAAATGCATTACGTTTAACACTCCCTCTTAATGCATTTGTCCTGCGACATTTAGGTTTTCTCTGAAATAGTAGAACTTCTCTCTTGGAAGTGCTTTTGTAAAAACATCTGCAATCTACTCATTAGTACCACAAAATTGCAATTCAATTTCTCCATCTTCAACCAATTTTCTGAAAAAATGATGATGAAGTTCTATGTGCTTTGACCTGCTATGAAAGACTGGGTTCTTTGTCATGGCAATTGTGGACATGTTATCACAGTACAAATTTGTTGGAGTGTTTTGTTCTTGATGAAGATATGCTAATATTCTTCTAATCCAAACTGCTTCACATGTTGCACTTGTGGCTGAAATATATTCTGCTTCGGCTGTTGATAATGCCACTGTACTTTGCTTCTTCGATGACCATGATATAACTTTTCTTCCCAAGAAAAAGACATGCTCAGATGTGCTTCTTCTATCATCAATTGCACCAGCCCAATCACTGTCTGTGAACCCAACTAAAATGGTTTCTTTCTCTTGTTGATAGAGTGATGTCATATCCTTTGGTTCCTTGCACATATCTTAGTATTCTTTTAACAGCAGCAAAATGATGATTACTTGGATCATTCATGAATCAAGATTCAACACTAACTGCATGAACTATGTCTGGCCTGTATTAGATAAATAAATAAGTGAACCAACAATACTTCTATACATAGAAGCATCAGCTCTTGGTGCTCCATCTTTACTTGAAAGCTTTAAATTAATTTCCATTGGAGTATTCATTGGCTTGCAGTTCAACATATTGAATCTTTTCAAGAGATTTTCGGCATACTTTTCTTGATACATAAAAATCCCTTTTTCTGATTGTTGGACTAGAATTCCTAGAAAATACTTCATAGAACCCAAATCAGTCATCTCATATTCTTTCATCATGTCCTTCTTGAATGCTTCTACCATCCTTGGTTTGGTTCTTGTATGAATCAAGTCATCAACATAAAGACAAGCAATAAGAAAATCATGTGTACCTTCTTTCTTGAGATAGAGTGATGGCTCACCTGGACTTCTTACAAATCCACTTTGACGGAAATATTGATCAATTTTGCTATTCCAAGCTCTTGGCGCTTGCTTTAAGCCATATAGTGCTTTCCGAAGTCGACAAACTTTGTCTTCATTTCCCTTTTCAATATATCCTTGCGGCTGCACGTAAACTTCTTCTTCAAGTTCTCCATTCAAAAAAGCTTTGAGATCATTGAATTGATATGTGCACTCATTTTCACTATCTGGACTAGTTTCAGTATCATATTCAAATAATCCTTCATTTTCTAGCTGAGCTAGTTCATTATCACTATCTTGCTCAAAATCGGAGGAATTAAGCATTATTTGGAAAAGTTGTTGCTTAAGTTCTTCGCTAATGCTTAAGTTACTAATTTTGTCCTTCATTTCACATTCGGATTTATAGTGTTCGATTTTTCCACATTTGTAGCATGTTGGGACTGCACCTTTCTTTCCTTTACTAGCCTTCTTACTAGTTTCCCCTACGTATTTCTTTTTCTTAAAGGTTCTATACGGTTTCTTAGGTTCAAACTTAGACTCATATTTTTCAAATTTCTTAGTCCTACGCCCCCTACTAGCCTTCTTACTAGTTTCCCCTGCGTATTTCTTTTTCTTAAAGGTCCTATACGGTTTCTTAGGCTCAGACTTAGACTCATATTTCTCATATTTCTTAGTCCTATGCCCCCCAAATTTCTTTCCCTTTTTATGTGAATATGATTTTACTGGTTCGAAACCAAATTGTTCACAGAAGTCTCCTAATTCTTTTCTTCCTAGGGTTTTCTGCTTATCAAGCTGTTTCTTTAATTTCGTGTATGTGCAAAGGGCTAATCCTTCTGTGCAGATCTCAGAGGATAATTCCCCATAGGTGTATGACCCATAAGGAATGACACCACCAATTTTGTCTTTAATTCTATTCCTAACCTTTTCAACGAATAGAATTGGTAATTCAGAAAGAAATTTCTCTTTCCAAAAATCAGCATTACAATCTGGTCTTGTAAACACCTTAGAGTAGAATACATCCTTATACCATCTAAAATGGGACAAGGTTGGACATTTAAGATTCATTAGGAGTTCTCTAGACCTGTCGTGCTGCAATTCTATAGTTCCTACAAAATGTAGAGTGATTGTATAAATCAGTAAATTTACCTCATCTTCCTGCTAAACGTTTTCACTTTTAATGACTCCAGTTGCTGGATCCTGCCAAGTCGCTTAGGTGGAAATCCCACCATCCTTTTAATTGATCGACAAAGCCTGCGATAATAGCTTCAGCCACCCTTCTATCTCCATTTCCTTTTATCTTAGAGGTTGTAGCGTACATCATCATATGTTTCATTGTATTAGTGATCTAATATTCTATCAGACCATCAATATTCCATTCAACTATGGAGCTTCCGTCATACTAAGCGGAATTCCACATTCCATCTTCCTCAAACTGTAAGTCTACTGGTGTGGGTCTAGGGTAGTAGTTTTTAGTCTTAGCAGTTTGAGTAAATCTCTTCTCAGTCATTAACCTATTAATTTTGAGTTGTTCTTCTTTAAACATTGTTTCAAGGTTATCTATTTCCTCTTCAGTGAGAACTGACACTTGAGGACCCTTTCCTTTATCTAATAAATTTAACCCTGATAATTTTTTGGCCAAGACGTCAACAAAGTTTTCGTCTTCAGATAATGTCCTTCCCATCTTAAAGTTTTTATTATCTAAGGCAAGAGGTGGTTTAAAGAATGCTTGACTCACTTCCTTATTCCTTTTGGTTTCTAAGGGACATGGTTCGGATTTTTGTTCCTTCAAGGAAACAGATGTTTCAATCCTGGTAACTTGCTTTCCTAAAGATTGCATAAACATGTTGGTGTAGTTATTCTGCTGAATGACTGCACCTACATCTTCTTTACTAGCTGCGTGAAAATTATTGGCACTATCTTCAAGGAAAGTGGTTTCTTTGTAGGAAGCTGCAATTACATCCTTTTTTTTAATCACCATCTCGGGTGGATGTATGGCTTTGATTGACTTTCCATCTTTGGAAGTATAAGTCGAGAACGGGCTTCCTATCATTTCTATATTATTCCTATGTTCAAGAATGTTATATTTCTTAGCACACCAATCTAACCATGCAAAGAAAAAACAGTTGACTTTCTTTTCTTTCATGAAAGCGGTGTGAGCTTTCCAGAGATGGTCTTCCCTATCCTTCTGAAAGGCTATTTCAAACCAAATTCTTTTATCAACATTTTCAATACTCAGATAATTTCTTTTGATCTTTTCGTGTTTGATTTCAAAAGATTTTATCATATTTATTTCAAATTCTACATTTGAAAATATTGGTTCAGGTTGAGGCGGATTCTTTCTGAAACCTATGTCTGGAATGGTTTGTTCGAACCTATAGGTTGGCCACTGTATTTGTTCTTGAGTTCTCCTAAGTCCTGCTAGAACCATTCTTCCTTGGTCTAGATCATAAGCTCTATCAGAGGAGGTGCTCGATCTATGAGGTTCTAGGTTAGATCTAGAGGGTGTCAAATCAATCCTAGTTCTTCTAGCACTGGAGAATTGTATTTCTACCTCTCCATCAGCGAATTGCGAGATCTGCGTAGGCTCCTGACTTTCAAGGGGCTTTTTTGGGGCTACTTCATCCAAAATCCATTTTTCTAGTAGAGTTATATCACTCCACTTTATCATTTTTGGGACTGCCACGTTTGACTTTTCAAGGTTAGTTTGGAACAAGGTAGTTTCACCTTTACTGTCTAAGTCTTTAGCTTTAGGACAGACAGTGTTCATAACCTTGTATGAAACCCATAAATGATTGCTAGATTTTGGGATCCTAGGTCCATATCATAACCCTGAGTTTAAATATTCAATGTTAAGCCTTTTAAGAGATTTATATCAGAAAGTGCAACAGAAAAGTTTGGAAAACAATTAAAATATATCGGTCTTCCCGTAAGGTTGACTCGACGTATTATTCCTAACAAAGAATCTGTGAACTTTCTATGTCTTCCATCTCTCACACATAGCAAGATTGAACTGGGCAATCTTGTTCTGGTAAGTGGTTTCACTGCTACCTGCACCAAGCTTATGTGCAAATAGTTATATTTTCTATCCAGATGCTGGTCGATTTGACGCTAAGTAAATAGCTAAAAACTATCATTTTTATCAATGACATATATGGTTTTTTCAACAGTTTTTATTGCACAATCAGATCTAAACTTGAAAGATCCACTATAGTATAAATCAGTGATGGGTACTCTGGGTATATCCCAGTTGCATAACTCCTATTCTACGTCTCGCATGGTTATTTCTTGAGAGTTTTTCACCCTTAGGGTTCTATGACTAGAACTGCTACTAGAGCCTACGTCTCCAGAAAAATGGGTAGACAAGATTCTCCTAAGGCTTGCCATTTTAATATTCTAGGTTTTACGCTTTTCTTCTGTTCTCCTCCTAATTCAAGGTTGCTAGTCCCTGCCTAGGTCTCTTCAACGCCTTATGCCTTTTTGGCAAAGGCCAACGAGCCTATCCGACAGCTAGACAACTCAATGACTAGTGAGTAAAGGAAACTTGACAGAAAACCAGAAAATTAGACCTGCAAAACCTAGTTATAACCTTCAAACTATCAACTCTTCTAGAGACTTTTGACTCTGATACCAGGTACTGGCCTGACCTCTATATATATGTGTGTATGTGTGTGTATGTATGAGTTAGAGAGAGAGCGCATGCGGCTGGAGTTTGAATGGGCCTATATGGCCATATGCTTTGTTCAAATTAAACATACATTAGTTACACAAAGAAAGTAGTAACTAAAAGTATGCAACCATCAACCATGCGGCCGACAAGATATGGTCATAGGAGAAAAACAAAAGTATGCAGCCATCACCCATTGAGGTTCCTCACTGATGTTAAGTCCCATGCTCAAATTTTCTTCCTCACTGCACTACTACAATTTTCCCTTGTCCTGGCAACCCTCTATAGTCAGTACAAACCCCAGCGACGAAAATGAGGGTCGTCAGTAAAAGTCCCGTCAGTGCTACTAATATTGACCAACTTTTGCAACTTATTCGTCAGTAAAAGTCTATAAATCCAGATTATTACTGACAAAACAAATGGTCAGTATTAAAAAAATATTTTGTCAGGATTATTGTTTTAGGATTGGATACTAGTGGCCAAACATTTGTGAGGATTGTAATTAACCAAAACAAAATAAAATTAAAAATTGATTGTTTGTCAATTTCTTTGTGCGCTTATGCACCATTAAATATCTTTCTTTCAAATGTCTTTTGTTTTGTAATATAATCGGAACATTTTTCGTTCTTAAAAAAAATTAATTGATACTGAAAATGTAATAATAATTATAAAGTACACTAATATAAATACTCAAAGATTGAACGATATACAATCACCATCCTTATAAAATATAAAGTACCAATGTTGATTACAATAGCCAAATATACAATGGTCTGCCTACATCAATAGAGTTCAAAAACTTTAGTTGCCCAACCTATTCAAAATTATGCCATGTCAAATATTCAACCAGTACACTACAAAAGTATGCATCCTGCTGGAATTTAAGTAGAATAGGATTAGGATAAGGTAAAATAAAATAAAATCAGTTAGGGTTGTTTCTTCCCAGAAGCTGCTTCTTGAATTAATTTCCCCATCTTTTTAGCATATTCCTAGCCTCTTTGAACATCAAAAACGTTCATCCATCTTGGCCCATGTATATGCTATCCATTCCAACTCCAAAACTGCTCTAAAATGCTCCAAAATGCCCTTTCTTACCAATCTTGTCATCTGGACCTACAATAGTACGAAAATAAGCTAAATCACTCTAATAAATGAGAATTAACTAAGTAAATGCAAAGAAATAAGATAGCAAAGTCGCATAAATATGCTCCTATCAAAACCTGTGGAAGACCTTGAGCTGGTCACTCTCCATGATGACCTCCCGGATCGGCAGGTCCGGATTGACACCTCCCTCCCACCAGAGCTTCGCTCTAACCTCGTCGCCTTCCTCCGCCTCAACTCTGAAGTCTTTGCTTGGTCTTACAACGATATGTCTGGCATATCACCTAACGTCATCTCCCATAGGCTAAGCATTAATCCTATTGTTCGACCCGTTCGGCAGAAGTGTCGTGGTGACCCAGAGCAGTATGAGGCCATGAAGGCGAAGGTGGATAAGCTGAGCACTAGTAGATTCATCAAGGAGGTGGACTATCCCACCTAGCTAGCCAATGTGGTAATGGTATGTAAACCAAGGAAGGGCTAGCACATGTGCGTGGACTACACAAATCTCAACCGGACCTGCCCAAAGGATAGCTTCCCCCTACCCCGCATTGACCAGCTCGTTGACGCCACAGCTGGCCATGTCCTCCTCAGCTTCATGGATGCTTACTCAGGCTACAACCAGATCTGCATGCACCCTAAGGACCAAGCTCATACATCCTTTATCACTGATCGTGGCCTTTACTGCTACAAAGTCATGCCCTTCGGCCTCAAGAACGCCAAGGCTACGTATCAGCGTCTGGTGAACAGCATCTTCACTCCACTGATTGGCAACACCATGGAGGTTTATGTTAACGACATGTTGGTCAAGAGTCGCACTGCTAACCAGCACGTCCCCAATCTCTCTGCCATGTTCACCATTTTGAAGCAGTATAGGATGAGGCTCAACCCTACCAAGTGTGCATTTGGGGTGGCTTCCGAAAAATTCCTTGGCTTCATGATCAGCCAAAAAGGTATTGAGGCCAACCCGGAGAAGATCCAAGCCATCTTAGACATGACGATACCCAAGACGATCAAGGACATTCAGAGCCTTACCGGGTGTGTCGTAGCCCTGACCAAATTCATTTCCAAGGCTACTGATCGATGTGCCCCATTCTTCAAGACAAACGCAGCATTACCTGGACTGCCGAGTGTGACCAGGCCTTCAGTGAGCTTAAGGAGCACATGAGCCGAGCCCCTTTATTGTCAAACCTTGAGCCCGGGGACGTCCTCGCCATCTACCTCTCTGTCTCGGCCACAGTGGTTAGCTCAGTGCTCATTCGACCACACGAAGGTGCTAAACATCTGGTGCACTATGTGAGCAAATGATTGCAAGATGCCGAGGTTTGGTACCCAGACATTGAGAAACTTTCTTTTGCCCTAGTAGTCTCGGCTAGACGCCTCAAACCATACTTCCAAGCTCACACCATCCATGTCTTATCCAACCAACCGCTTAGGCAAGTGTTGCAGAAGCCACAGACTTCTGGGAGGTTGGTTAAGTGGGCCATCGAGCTGGGTGAGTTTGATATCCACTACAAACCCCGCCCAGCTACAAAGGGCCAGGTCGTTGCTGACTTTATATCAGAACTCACAGATCCCCAAGCTTCGACCTCTACCCAGGTCATAACTGAACCCAGTGTTCCTTCGAGTCAGCTCCACATCGCCAGCAGTGGCGACCTCGACTTGACCCAGCCCTTGTGGACCTTATATGTGGATGGCTCCTACAATATCCAAGGATGTGGGGTCGGCCTTGTTCTCATCTCCCCAGACAAGGTTGTCCTAGAGTACCTCCTCCGCTTCAAATTCCATGCCTCCAACAATGAGGTCGACTACGAAGCACTCTTAGCTGGCCTTCGACTAGCTAAGGAGATGGGTGCCAAGCAAATTCAGATATTCAGCGACTCACAGCTCGTTGTCCATCAAGTCAACTAGGACTTCACAGCCAAGGACATCTCTATGACAGCCTACCTCCAGCATACCCGCCACTTGCTTGCAACATTCGACGCTCATCTTATAAGCTAGGTACCACGCTCTGAGAACAGCCATGCTGATGCTTTGGCCACGCTAGCCTCGGCCTTGGAGCAGGACATAGGTCGCAATATCCATATTGAGTTCTTGGACCAGCCCAGCACACAAGCACCACTCATCTGTGTCATCGATCACAGCGCTACATAGATGGACCTCATCACTCAGTTCTTGCAGAACCAGACACTACCTACTGATCGTGCTGAAGCACAGCGGGTTCGCTATCGCTCCGCTTGATACTTGATCATCAATGACGCCCTATACAAGCATGGCTTCAGCCTTTCCTACCTTCGGTGCCTGACCCCAGAGGAAGGAAGCTATGTTCTAAGGGAGATTCACGAGGGCATCTGTGGCAACCACTCAGGCGCTCGCTTCCTCGCACACAAGGCTATTAGGCCAGGATACTTCTGGCCATCACTTCACATTGATGCCCAGGCCTTTACCCAGAAGTGCGATAAGTGTCAGCGATTTGCCAACATCCCACAACTTCCAGCTGAACCATTAACAGCCATGGTCAGCCCTTGGCCATTTGCCCAATGAGGAGTTGACTTATGCCTGAGGGAAAAGGCCAATTTAAGTATGTCGTTGTGGCGGTAGACTATTTCACCAAGTGGGCTGAAGCTAAAGCCTTAGCCACCATCATTGCAGCCCGCATCGAAACTTTTGTTTGGCAAAATATCGTATGTCGCTTCGGCATCCCCAACACCATCGTCATGGACAATGGCCGGCAATTTGACAATGCCAAGTTCAAACAATTTTGTTCCAACCTCAAGATACGTCTTTGCTTCACCTCCCCAGCCCATCCTCAGTCCAATGGCCAGGTTGAAGCAAAACAAGATCATCAAGAAAACTCTAAAGACCAAGCTTGACAAAGCTAAGGGTTGCTTCGGCTCCGTCCCCATCACACTATGACAAGCCTCCTCCAGCGCCTTCCTCTTTCCCATAACATCGGCGAACCGACCCTCATCGTCATCCCTAGGGCGCTTCCTAGTCGTCCCTGGGCACCACCCTTCTCCGCCTTCTTAGCCCAAGACTCCCTCACTCGCTGCTGCATCTCGACGTCAGTATACTCCACAACCACCTTCATGCTTCCCTTTATAAGACTTGTCACTGCACATCAAAAGCTAAGTTAGTCACAATTACAAAAAGAAATCGAAAGACAAACAACAAAAGGGATCCAAGTACTTACTTCCTTGCAAAAGGCCAGACTTAAACAAGTTCTTCTGAGTGACTAGGATTTTGCGCTCACGCTCGGTCTCTAATAACAGTGACCTCACCCTCTCATCCTCGTCCTCTTGCTCCTTGGAGATCGGTCCCTACTTCACCGAACCTGCACCAAAGGTTAGATACAACTCATCCATTTACACTTGCATAAGCAAAAATAAAGAACTAAGAGTCTAAACAAGTACAAACACTACAAAACAATAATCAGTCTTAAAGGATGGGGCTAAGGACCTATAGACTGGAAGTGGGTTGGAATATGTCTGGAGACGGTCTTCCCTGGTGGACACTTCCAGTTACCATAAGCCAGACACCACCGATTTCTCCAAGACTTCCGAGTAGAAGGCTTGTGGCCAATAAAATAACCTCTCTCTTTTGCCTTTCGGCAATTGGCTTGTACCCAGCCAAAGGTTCCCTGTTGCTTGGAGATCGAGTACAGGTACATAAACTGCTCAAACATTGGCTCCCCCAACCCAACCAACCACCAAGCAATATAAACTCCATGCAAAAGAAGCCAAAAGTTGGGATTATATTGCCTCGGCGCATACCCCAGCTTGGCCGACATCATCTGTACCCAAGGATGAAACGGTAGTCTGAGGCCATGCTGGTACATATCTGTAAAAATCATCACCAAACCCTCCGGAGGATATCTCACTACATCCGCAGCACTAGGTAATCTTAAGCCCACATAATTAGGAACACTATAATTTGTCCGAAGCTCAGCCAACTTTACTTCTGTAAGAATATTCCGCCTAGCCAAAGGGACACCAACCCGGATGTCCACCCCCTCTGAAGCTGAAGCCACGGCTATACCCACAGACCCTGATGGTGATGCCTGATTGCTCGAGCCCACCTCTGGTGAACGAGGCATAGCTAGAACCCGATCTTTTATGGCCTCTAACACTTTATAATTCCTCTGCATCTCCTTATATGCCTCTGACCCAGAGTTTACCGGTGGCTCACTCCTCTCACTCTCATGAACTACCATCCTAGCTTCTACAGGACCTTCTACCAAACCCTCTGTCTAGGAACTCTCATCTTCAAAACAAACATATTCACTAGCCTTTTCACTCTCAGTATCATCCCCACCAAAGGCAGAGGGACTTTATTTATCAGAACTTTCAGACATCTACAACATGCAAAAACAAGAAAAAGGAACTAACGCACATACAAGAAGGATCGAAAACACAGAACACAAAAAGGAGGGCACACCTACATGCTTTCTGACCTAGATGCATACATTCAACAAGTTCATCTTAAGGTTCAAGATGTTCATACTCATGTCCAAGGTGTTCATCCTAATCTTCAACATGTTCATACCAAAAGTAGAATTTCAATTCAAAAATTCAAGGGAAATGAGGTCTAACCTTGTTTGCACCACCACGGAAAGTCGCTGGAAATCACCTTAGCCACAGCACCACCACGAGGTATTCCGTCGGAAATCTCTTTTTCTCCTTCTCACTTTCTGGAAATTTCTCTCAAATTCTCCAAGTATGATGCCTTTGGGACCCCAACCTCCTATTTATAAAGTCCGAAGGGTACACAAGAAACCTTAGCACCCTTTCACCTTCCCTCCCAAATCCCTTATACCTGCAACAATTTGAAATTCAGATTTCATATATATATATATATATATATATTTAAACGGAGCAAGGAATTTGGAAGGACCTTGCCGAACGGCAAGGCCCGTGAAAAAACAATGAGAGGCCTCGCAAGAAAATCTTACCAAGTCTAAAGATTGATCCGCTTGCCAAAGGGTCCTAACTATAGAGCCCAGCTCCTAACGACCACAAAAACCACAGATTGTCATCTCGACGTAAAAAAGCTTGCCTTGCTGAACAGCAAGGCCCATGGAAACATTTTTGGGGGTCACAAAAAATTCACACCTTGCCCAAAGCTTTGCTGACCCAGCTCCAAGCCTTGACAAACCCAAGCCCTTGAGCAAACTTGACTGAGCCAACTCCAAAGTTTGACCAAAGGCTTAAGGACTCAAGTCCCTTGCCAAAATCACCAAGTCGGAAGGCCCAGTTCCAAAACAGGGCCGGCTCTAACGCAAACCGAGCTCTCAACCTTCCCGAGCTGAAACACCAAGAAGATTGGGGCCCACGGTGCTAGAGAGACCCTTGCCTGCACCTGGTCTTGGACCAGGTCGAAATCCTAGCTACCCCGCCTAGCCTCGAAACCCAGCTCACACCAAGGCCCAAAAGCCCAGGCCCAGTTCAAAGGTTGAGAGGCCCGGTTCCAAGCTACGTGCCGAATAGAGCCGGCCCAGCTCTCCTATCCGATCTTGCCAAAACGCAATAAGGCTCTTCTCCTTGCTGAAGACACAGCAAGTTCCAAAGATATTTACCTCCAACACTGACCAGATTTCAAAGAGCCCAGCTCCAAAGCAAAGCAATTCTCCTTGCCGAACCCTGTTGCATAATCAAAATTAATCTTGGATTGGTATTGCCGAACAACAACCAACACACGGAATCAAAAGGACACCCACAAAGATACTTACTTACGGAGAGGACCTAGCCCCAAGACGGTTCCAGGTCACACAAATGAAGACCCAAGTCCCAGTGACAGAACTCTAACCTGTGGCCCAACTCCGATCTGTCACCTACAGAAGGTCTATCCAACCATAATTTGCGCAAGACACCCAAAACGCAAGGATGCTGAACGACAAGGGGCACCTACCAACCAAGAACTCCAGTCTTCTCTCGCCGACAACACATTCGAAGGAAAAATGAACCTAATGCTCTGATACCAAGCTGACAGGACCCGCCCCAGAATTTCCCCTGAAACTGGGGCGGACCCCGTCTTGGTGCCGACATCTCCCCGATGCCGGGCCCACTTACTAAAATTCAAGACATCCTACCAAAATTTTGGCAGAGTCTGCCCTGTAAAATGCTCAAACCCAACAACATTCAACCTGCATAATTTACATAATATAAATTCCAACTACCAGCATGCTTTCAACATACAACAATACAAAGTAAAGTGGCCTCCGGCCTCAAGTAACAACCTAACATGGGCGATAACAGAGCGTCTAATAGAATTTGTTTACAACAAACAGTTGAGTAGAAGGAATTTACACAAGTCCTATCTACGGATGGAATGTTTTGAGCTCGCAACCTGCTCGAACGCTTCCAGGAGCAACTATTGCCTGGGGGGCGTAAAACAGAAATATGTGAGTGGACAAAAATAAAGTTTGCATTTGAAACAACATAATAACCCCACCGTGTAAAAATAATGCTCTAGCATACAGTTTCACAATTCATAACCCAAATACTCAAAACACATAATCCCAAAGTCCAATAAATCTCCAAATCTCAAAACCACAACTCTACTCGCAAAGATATGCAACTTTCATCAACCCATATACACACACATATATATATATATATACATATAACTATAACTATAATATAACATATACTTCTCTCCATACTAATGTACCGGGGAAACAATCCAACAGGGGGGATTGTTTGGCTGGTACGCAGGATTTCCGAGCACTAACCCGCGTCCAGGGATGAGTAGTCCAACCGGGGGACGGAACTCCATAGCTCACACGCCGGCACTGCTAACGACACGTGTAGCTCACAAATCTCATAACAAGTCCTACGCGCGCAGACAGTATCATCACCCCACCGGCACTGCCAACGACGTGTGTGATAATACAAAGCAATATACATACTATT